GCTCAGCACAGCCTGGCACAGCCCAGCACAGCCCAGCACAGCCCAGCACGGCTCAGCACAACCTGGCACAGCCCAGCACAGCCCAGCACAGCCTGGCACAGCTCAGCACAGCCCAGCACGGCTCAGCACAGCCTGGCACAGCCTGGCACAGCCCGGCACAGCCTGGCACAGCCTGGCACAGCCCAGCACAGCCTGGCACAGCCCAGCACAGCCTGGCACAGCTCAGCACAGCCCAGCACGGCTCAGCACAGCCTGGCACAGCCTGGCACAGCCTGGCACAGCCTGGCACAGCCCAGCACAGCCTGGCATGGCTCAGCACAGCCTGGCACAGCCCAGCACAGCCCGGCACAGCCCAGCACGGCTCAGCACAGCCCGGCACAGCCTGGCACAGCTCAGCACAGCCCGGCACGGCTCGGCACAGCCCGGCACAGCCTGGCACAGCCCGGCACAGCCTGGCACAGCTCAGCACAGCCCGGCACAGCCTGGCACAGCCCGGCACGGCTCAGCACAGCCCGGCACAGCCTGGCACAGCCCGGCACGGCTCAGCACAACCCGGCACAGCCTGGCACAGCCCGGCACAGCCTGCTACAGCTCAGCACAGCCCGGCACAGCCCGGCACAGCCTGGCACAGCCCGGCACAGCCTGGCACAGCCCAGCCCAGCACGTCATGGCTCGGCTCGGCGCGGTGCCCGGTGTGGCACGGGGTGTCCCAGACGCGGGGGCAGCGGCTCGGCCCTTCCCGTGGGATCAGCTCCTGCCCAAACCCACTCCCCGCCGGGAAAATCACCTTCTAATTCGGGCTGCGCCGGCGCCAGCGCCTCCCCCCGGCACCCCCGGGGCTCCCGCCGGCCCCGAAATTCGCCGCAGCCTGGGGTCCCCCCGGGGCCGTGGGGGATCAGCCCATGGGGTTCCCAACGCGTGGGACCGGGGGGTCCCTCCCGGTACCGGAGCCTCCGGACAGGGGCGCGTTGTCGCCTGTGGCCGCCAGATGTCGCCGCGCAGCCGGTGACCGATGGCACCGGGGGGCACCGGGGGTCCTGCCTGCCCCGGGAGGGGCGGGGGGAGCGGTACCGGTGCCCCCAAAGAACCGCCAGCCACGTGTGACATCCGTGCAGGTACAGTCGGAGAGGCAGGGCCGTCCCGTGTGTCACCGGGGCCTGCGGTGTCCCCAGGGAGCCGCGACCCGCGTGTGTCACTGGTGACGGTGGCGTCCCAGGGGGCCGGTCCGTGGATGTGCCAGCTCTGGCTGTGTTCCCAGAGAGCCGTGACCCACATGTGGCGTGGGTGCTGCTGCTGTCTGAGAGCCACGACCCGCGTGTGTCACTTGTGGCAGTGATGTCGCCAGAGACCTGTGCTGATGCTGGTGCTGTCCCCAGACTGTCACTGGTGGTACCCGGCGTCCCCCGAGAGCCGTGGCTGTCATGTGTCCCTGATGTTGGCAGTGTCCCAGAGGAGCCATGTCCGTGTATGTGCCAGTGCTGGCCGTGTCCCCAGAGAGCTGTGACCTTCACGTGTCGCTGGTGACTGGTGTCCCCAGAGATCCGTGGATGTGCTGGCGTGTCCGCAGAGCCGTGACCCACACGTGCGACTGGCACTGGCCATGCCACAACCCGCGTGTGCCAGCAGGACTGCCCGTGTCCCCACAGCGCGGTGTCACCTGCTTACACTCGCTGCCAGTTCCTGCCCATCCACATGCCACCGTCCCCAGCGTGTCCCCGCGGCCCAGCGCTCCTGCCCTCGGTGCCGGCTCTCCCAGGCCGCGCGAGGAGCCGGTGGGAAGGGTCCGGTGAATGCGGCATTGTTGCGCGGGGTTGGAGTCACAGATAATTACCTCAATTAGTTACAATGGCAGAGTAATAAATACAGGCTTAGCGGCTCCTTCCCCACTGCGGCTTCTCAGATTAATCCAGCCCGGGCGAGCGGAGCTGAAAGGATTGATGGACAATTCATTAAACCCGCCGAATGCCGCACAAGGCACCCGTGAAGGCCGGCGTTAGCCCCCGGCGGCTCCGCTTTGTCCCTAATTGTTCGTCTCGGGCATTGGTCACCTATCAGGGAGTGGGTGACGGCGACGGTCCCCCCGGGGCTGGCATGCCCGGGGATTAGAGGCCAGCGCTGCCACCGTTGCTGGGCGCGTTGGCCCCGCGCCGGAGGAATGCGGCGGATGGGAGGGGGCGGCCGGACAAGCCGGGAGCTGGCGGGACGTGGGTCCGCATCGACCGGAGGCGAGGGGAGCCGGGACGGGGCTGTGCCGCTGGCGATGGTGACAGGGGGTGGGATGGGGACGGTCCCGCAGGTGAAATGGGGCCACCTGAGGGTCTGGGTAGGTGGGCACAGCTCCGTCTGTCTGTCCTGCAGCTCTGGGTGCTGTCCTGTCCTTCTGTCCTGCGTTTCTGGGAATGGCACAGTCCTCCTGCCCCGCACTTTTGGGCACTGTCCTGTCCTGTCCTGCACCTCTGGGAATGACAAAATTCCTCTGTCCCGCACCTCTGGGTACTGTCCTGTCCCTCTGTCTGGATTCTGGGAATGACACCATCCCTCTGTCCTGCACCTCTGGGGCATGGCTCTGTCCTGCATCTCTCTGTGTCATCCTGTCCCTCTGTCCAGAAACTCTGGGCACTGTCCTGTCCTTTGGGGAATGTCACCACCCCTCTGTCCTGCACCACTGGACACTGTCCTGTCCTTCTGTCCCACACCTCTCGGTACTGTCCTGTCCCAGTGTCTCGCATTTCTGGGAATGACACCTCTCCCCTGTTCTGGAAGCACCCCTGTCCGTCTGTCCTGCACTTCTGTGTGTCATCCACTCTGTCCCACAGCCGCAGGCAGAGCCCCCCTGCACCCCATCCCTGAACGGGGCTGTCCCAGCCCGGCTTGTGGCCACCATCCAGCTGTTACCCGGCTTCCCAGATGTGACAGGCTGGTGCAGGATGGGACCGCCCTCTCCCTGTCCCTCTTCCTGTCTCTCTTGCTGGCCCTGTCCCTGCGCTGGCCCACAGCAGCTATTTCCAGCACCCAGAAATATTTGTCCAAGCCGGGGAGGTCTGTGCCCCGTGCCCAGGGTGCCCCTGCCCACCCGGGGGTCGCGGCTGCCCGAGGTGCCCAGCAGGACACGCAGGAAAAGCTGAGTAACAGAGGTGACTTATAAGAATGTCATTATCTATATTCCTGACTCCTACCGCAGGAAAACAGGCTATTTTCATGCTGAAGCAGGAGCAGAATTTAGCAGACAGATAACCCGGCAGGCGGGAGATGCTCGGAGGGTTATTTCGGGCTGTGTTCCTTTCCAGGCGTTTTCCTTGCATTTTGGTATTTTATTCTCCACGCTGGGCTGTGTTTTGACCTTGGCGCGGGCAGCGGGGGCCCCCAGGGTGTTTTTCCCCCCCTCCTCTGAGTCTAAACATCAACTTTTCCACTATCGGCTCCGCGGGATATTTCGGGTGGTGGCAGCGTCATCCCGCAGCCTTTGATGCGGCAGAGCCTCAGGGGCCCCGAGAGGTTCCCGGCTCCGGGGGGGAGCCCAGGCTGTGGGGACCCCCGGGACAGGTGGGCACCAGTCTGGGGGTCCCCCAAACACAGAGAGGGAGTCTTTGATGTCGCCAAGTGTGAAGTCATGGTGCAGGGGGGATGTGTGGACCCTGTGACCGCCCCAGGGATGCCCGTCACAGGGGGATGCCCATCTCGGTGGGAAACCCATCCCCGTGGGATGCCTGTCCCAGAACATCCCCTTCCCAAGGATGCCCATTCTGGGGACCTGCCCACCCCTTGGGGATGCTTATCCCAGGGCAAAACCCATCTCAGGGCATGTCCTGCCTGCTGCATTCCCATCCTGGTGGGGTGCCCGCTCCAGTGGGAGGACTGTCCCAGGAGGATGCCCGTTCTGATGGGATTCCCTTTCCAGAGGGATGCCAATCCGGAGGGAAGCCCGTCCCGGAGAGATGCCCATCCCGGGAGGATAGCCACGCCAGCAGAACACCTGCCAAGCACGGAGCTGCACCCCACCTTTGCCACAGCCTTTCTCTTGTTGTGGTCAGACCCCACGCATGGATGTGGGGCTGTTTGTGGGGCCAGTGGCCGGCTCTGTCCCCTCTGGCCCCTGCCCCGGTAACCCCGGTGCCCTCCCCGGCCCTGCTTTTCCCCCGGAGCCAAGGGGAGCCGTCAGCCCCGGCCGGGAGCGGTGATGAACGATGTTCATTCCCTGTCTGTCGTCTTGTACCTCCCAGGGCCGCTCCCAACGCCCGGCCTCGGCGGCACCAGCCCCACCGCCCCGGCAAATTCCAGCATCGGAGATGCTGCAGTCAAGGTGCCATGGTGATGGGCGCCGCAGCCGTGGGGACGGACATCCCGGCCGGGAGCGGCGGCAGGAATGGCTGGGATGGAGACGGGCACAGCGGGAGAAAGAAGGGGGTCTGCGGGGAGGGGATGGCAGAGAGTGGAAGGAAGGAGGAGAAAGATGGACAGACAGCAGCCGGAGGGGCTGATGGACGTGGAGTGGGGTGGTGAGGGGATGGGGAAGTGATGGATGGACAGATGGACATGGGCAGCACATCCCAAAGTTTGGGATAAATTGGTGTCCCCCCACAGCTCATCCCCTTTCCCCCAGCCCCTCCAGACACAAATCGGGGCAGGACTGATAAAAATATATTTTTTATTCTTCTCTAAAGGCTATCAATGACACCTGTAACAAAGCATCATTATTATTAATTATTATTAATTATTATCTTTAATTATAAAAACAGGGCCTGGGGCCAACGAAGCAGGGTGGGGGCGGCGGCACCAAACCGTCCACAATAAATATTTTATTTACAGCAAGAAGGGACCCCGTGGAGCCGGGGGGTGGCCGGGAAGGTGCGTGGCACTGAGCCCACCCGTGGCAGGATGGGGGTCCCTAGGACACATCCATACCCCCACCTATGGGTGCCTTCAATCCAGCCGGGCACCCGTCATGGGGGGTGGGTGGCGCAGACCCCCTCCGGGGCTGGGCAGGGTGGTCCCGGCGTGGGTCACAGGCACTCGTGCAGCACCTGGGTGTTGGTGCAGTTGAGGCAGCTGACATGGCAGCACCAGTGGAAGGTGCAGTTGCAGCGCTCGGTGACGCGCTGGGTGCGCGTGCGGTACCCACGCCCGCAGCACAGCAGCTCACACCCGTCCAGCCCCGGTGAGGAGCTGTTGCAGAACCTCCCGGCCGTGCCTGCTGTGCCCATCTTCCCGCTGTAGGTGCAGAAATTGGGGGATTTCTCGAAGTAGACGAGATCGTGGGGTGAGGGAGGCTTGTGGGCCGGGTTCTCAGGCTCCAAGTGATGCAGCTCCACCCTCGACGCCCGGTTGCTGCCCTTGTTGCCATAGATGACGCGGGAAGCGCCGTCAAAGCGATCCTTCAGGACGTCGCCCACGGCACGGAAGGTGGGCAGCCGCATCCAGCAGGTGCGGACGGTGCAGGAGCCTGACATGCCGTGGCACTTGCACTCCTGGCGCATCTCTGAGAAGACCGTCTGGAAAGAAGGGGGAATTTGGGGCCTTGTGAGCAGCCTGGGACGCCCCTGGGGACCACCGTGCTCCTACACCCCTCGTTTCTGCAGGATCGCATCATGCTCGGACATCGCTTGTCCCAAACACAAGTGCGAAACCCATCTCCAGCTGTTCCCAGCACACACATGGGAACAGGCTGGAGATCTCAGTGGCCATGCTCGTCTCTGTGCCCACCTCAGTGCTGTCCACAGCCCCCAGTGCCCTCACCATTCCCTCCTTGCCCTCACCATTCCCCCAGTGCTCTCACCATTCCCTCATTGCCCTCACCATTCCCTCCTTGCCCTCACCATTCCCCCAGTGCTCTCACCATTCCCTCATTGCCCTCACCATTCCCTCCTTGCCCTCACCATTCCCCCAGTGCTCTCACCATTCCCTCATTGCCCTCACCATTCCCTCCTTGCCCTCACCATTCCCCCAGTGCTCTCACCATTCCCTCAGTGCCCTCACCATGCGCCCGGCCTCGTTGTTGTGCAGGTTCATGAGGAAACGCAGGTCTCGGCCCTTCTCACTGGAGTCCACAAACTCCCTCCCGAAGAGGCGACCGAAGTCGATGTTGTCACTGCAGCCCCCCCAGTGCCAGTCAGGCCCCCCAGGGCCACGGCGCCGGTAGTCACAGGTGCAGGACTCGATGGACCCCTCCGAGCACGACCGGGCCACCGAGTGTGTCACGCCTGCACTGGTGATGGCAAAGATGAATGCTGTCTCCCGGCAGCCTGTGGAGGGAGCGGGGCCTCAGGATGCTGCTGGGATGGGGAGGGGGTACCCACCGGCACCCCCAACCCTCCATCACGATGGGCTGGTGATGCCCCATGACAAACCGGGGGCGCTTTGATGAGCATCCCAACTTGGGGGTGAGTGGAGGAGTTCTGGGGACCCCTGTGCTGACCCCCAGTCTCACCCCGGTTGACAATTTTGCCGAAGATGTTGGGGCCTTGGGAGGTGGGACAGTTCCAGCGGCGGTTGCGGAACTGCCACTTGCACTCCTTGATGGCTGTCTGGAGGCCGGAGCTGACACTGTGAAGGATGCCGGGGTTCTGACGGATCAGCTTGCGCTGCTTTCGGCTCAGCAGCTGCAGGCTGGGGTCCAGCACCAGCTGCACGTTCTTGGAGTCTGTCAGCAGGTTGGTGGATGAGGCCACGTTGATGATGCCCCTATGGGCACAGGTGGGGATGGTGACCATTAGCAGGGGGTCCCCAGCGCCTCCCTCCTCACCTCAACCTCCCTGCAGGCTCCTCGATGTGACCACAGCATCTTCCTCCCTGGTACCCCTGTAGGGATCCCAAACGGGGGTCGCAGCCCTGTGTCCCCCCCCCCGCCCCGTCCCTGGGTACGGGGCAGTCTCCGCTGTGCCCGTGCCAGCCCCGCCCTCCCGCCTCACCACCCCGGTGCCGGTACCGGTGCCGGTGCTGTCCGACTCACCACCACCGCCCGCTGTTGTTCACTGCCAGCGTGTTGGAGAGGGAGGAGAGGGCCAGAGCCCAGAGTGCCCGGAGCGCCAGCCCCAGCGCGGCGGCGCGCATGGCTCCGGCCCCGGGAGCCCCGGCAGAGTGCGCGGGCGAGCGGCCGTCCCGGTATTTATGGTGCCGCAGAGCCCCCGACCCGGCCGCTACATCCACGCGTGTTTCCGGACGCGCGGGGCGGCTCCGAGATGAGGACGGCCGCGGGGGGACGCGGGGAGCGCCGGGCGGGCGGGCGGGCCGGCACCGCCACCGGGCTGCAGCCGGTGGCCGGGGCGCGGCGTCGGGGGTGCGGTGCCCAGCGCACACTGACCCGGCCCTGGAGCACGGCGTCGGGCGCTCCGTTCGCGGTGCCGGTGCTGGGGACCCGGTGCTCTGTGCCCGGTGCTCGGCACTCTGTGCGCGGTACCCGGTATCGGTACCGGTGCTGGTTCTCGGCGGTCCGTGTGCGGTACTCGGTGCCGGTGGTCCGTACCGGCAGCTCTCCGGGGAGCCGGCACTGCTGGACTCGGCTCGGCGCGGCGGGTGCACAGCGCTCAGCACCCGGGAGCATCTTCCAGCCCCTTCCCTCTTATAGGGGCGGCGCGGAGGGTCCCCGTGGGCCGGTCCCGCCGCGCGGGGCCTCCCCGCGTCCTCGCCCTAACAATGGGGAGCGGCGGAGCTGCGGCATCTCTTACGGGGCGGCGGGAGCGGCGGCGCCGGGGCTGTCCGTCACGGCCCGGATTAGCCCGGCGGGTGGCTGCGCCCCGGCCCCGTGCCCAGAGCTCCCGGCTGCCGCCCCCCGCCTTCCCCGCGTCCCGCGCACACGTTCTACAGGCGCCGGCACCGGCACCGGCGGGGGGAGCCCGGCACGGCCCACGACAGCTCCCGGCGCAAGGAGGAGCCGGTCCCGGAATAACCTGGGACGGCCCCGGACGGCTCCGGGCGCACGGAGGGAGCGGGGAACGGGGATAGCCCGGGGTGTCCCGGGACAGCCCGGGGTGCACAGGGTCAGGAGTGACGGGATCTCCCGGGACAGTCCCGGGCGCACGGGGGAGGCAGAGTTCCGTGACAATCCAGGGCTCACGGAGACCACAGTCCCGGGAAAGCCCGGGGACACCGTCCTGGGACCACCGGCTTTCCGGGGGACACGACGTGCAGTCCCCAGGGACTTGGACCGTCGAGGCTGAGTCGGCGCCCCTCCAGAGCCCACGGAACCTTCTCCCGTTCTAGTCCGTGCCCAGCGGGACGGGGCTACACCCTCTTCCAGCCGCTCGAGCCCGGGCTGTCCCGGGCTGTCCCGGCGGCACCCCGGACCCCCGTGCCCGTGCCTGTGGACGCCCATGGTGTCTACAACCCGCGTGGGCGCGGCACGGCCCCGCACGGCTCCCGCTGCCCCGGAGCGCCCAGTCTGGGCCGGTACCAGGTGTCGGAGGTAGGGATGGACCGGGGGGTGGAGGGATCGAGGGATGTGGGATAGAAGGAAGGGCAGAGGGTGCTCGGATGATGGCGGGGGGAGGCCTGCCGTGCCCACGGCCAGAACACGGGCACGCAGGGCTGGTGCTGGCCCGGTCTCGGTTTGGGTACGACTCTCCCCGTCATCCCCCGCCCGAGCCGGTTGTGGGTGGGTGTGAAATCCCCAGTGCGGGGCCCGACGGGCCGGGGGGCCTGAGCTGAGTCCCCCGTTGGGGCGGGAACCGGGGGGGGTAATCCCCCCGCCGCGGTTTCCCCGGACCAGTCATGCGGGGCCGGATTAGCCCCGCTCGCCCGTCACGGCCCGGGGCCGCCGCTCACCAGTTTAATTCAAGGATGGACAAAGCCCGGGACGGCGGCAGGGGTGGGGGGCTCGCACCGGCACCCACCCGCACCCCTTCCCCCGGCCCGGGAGGAGCCCAGGGCCGACCCGGGGTCTGCTCCAGCACGGCGCTCCCGCCCCCCCGCCCGGTTCCCGGCCGGGCCGGGCCGTGTCCACGCCCTCGGGCCTCCGCCCCGTCGGGGCTCCCGGGGCTGAGGTCAGCGGCCGCGGGGAGGCCCCGGGGCGCGGCTGGGAGGGCCCTGCCCGGAGCTGTGCCACCAGCGGCGGGGCGCAACCACGGCCCTCGCCTCCCCCGCTCCATCCCGGGACCCTCCGGCCCTCGCACTCCCTGCCCGCTGCCCCGAGCCCCCGTTCCCCCCATCCTCTCTGCTGCAGCCCACGGCGGCCCGATGCTCGGGATCCCCCCAGTCCTGGGGTGCCGCTGGAATAGTTCCCGCAGCCGTCGGGGCTGTCGGTGCTACCCGGCGCCCCCAGCGTGGCCGCCGGTACCTGCCTGGGAGCGGGGGGCATCCATCCTGTCCCGCGGCACGGAGCAGGGACAGACAGACTGCAACGGGGACAGACAGACGTGGAAACACCCGCGGATCCCCCGCGCCCCGTCCCGGCCCCTGCCCTGCCTGCGAGCACCGGGGCGGCCTCCGAACCGGCGGTATCGGCACGGTGCGGAGCGCTCAGCCCGTGACGGTGTTGGGGTCCCCGTTCCCCGTAAAGCACAGGGACCCCCCGCCCCCCAGGCCGGGACTCTGCCTTCCCGGGGCTCACGGCGCGGGGGGGGGGGGGAGGA